TGGGAATTAGCTTCAATTTTGTGTTCATTCTCCAATTGGGATCTTGTATGAAGATGAAACTTGGAAGACCTCTTTGAAATCAATCCATCCTGTTTGGTTGCTTGTTTACATATTTAGTTGCAATGGGTGTCATGAGCAGCTCTTCTTGCTAATCTGATAACTGTTGGACCCGATGTACTTTTCTTTTACACTCAGTAAGTTGTTACAAGTCACAAACCCTTTATGTTTCAGTTGTAATCTTATATGAATACAATGTCAGATGTCTCATTTGCAGTTAATCAGCAATGAATACTCCATGAGGCTGGTTCGAGAGGAGCAAGGAAAGCAGCCACGACAATGCATGTGAGGGGAAAAAGCCAAGAGGCGGTTGCCTCTTTTGATTTCACCGGAAACACAACCCCATCCTGGTGGTTATTCTTGGCAGGGAACGAAGAATAAGAAATGATAATTTTTACACTATTTTTATTTTGTATTTATTTATGAATAGAGTGTATTCATTTGTGAATATCAGTGTATTTATGTGTGAATGACTATTTAATTATACATAATTGTTTCTTTAACATTTTTGCAGATCCAATGAATAAACATGCATATAGTGGGAGGTGGGAGATTTACCAAATGAAACACCGACACCAATAGATTTCAGAAGGAACGCAAAGATGTTTTATTCAATTATGATTGTAATTGTAGTACTAGTTTCTGTATCAAAAAAATATATATTGTAACTTATTCATTTACTATTATAATTATATTCTTATATGAATAGAAATGTGTTTTATTTCTTTATATATAAGTATCATTTTAGTTGATTTTATAATCTTTTTTTTGGGTTTTATTCATTTATGATTTTACAAGTGTATTCATAAATACATCTGAGTTAATTCATTTATAATTTACAATTTTATTCATTTTGAAATGAAATGTATAAATCATTATTTATGAAGATATTTTTTTTTAAATAAATGAGGTAAACCGATAAATTATTCATTCTCTTGATATTTGATTGCTAAAAATGAAACATAAAAATGAAAAATGAAATGAAAAAAAAATGTTTTTTTAGATAGAAATTAAATCATGATTTTATTAATTATGGGCTCATTAAAAGAATAGAATCTAAAAAATGAGATATTTTGGGTAATTGTCATCATAATCACTAAAATTTAGGAAATCATAATTTAATTAGATGGTAAAATTCCATTTATGCCCTCTAAAAATGATTGGTCTACAACTGTTCTCGCGTTCTCAACCTTTTATGTGTTCTCATTTGATCGTCTCCCTATATATATATATATATATATATATATATATATATATATATATATATATATATATATATATTCAATATTATATATTTGTAGTGACCCAAATTCAAGAATTAAAAGTAAAATTCAAACATTCAAAGTACTTAATTTTACTCCTCCTCACTACCTATCTCATTTGCATCCTAACTCTTTACTCTTTCCATTTTTCTTTCTAAACTTACCACTACCTCCGTCCAATGTTTATTGTCCGATTTTGACTGTTGAAGTCTTTATTCTCCAAATTTGACATTAAATATTTTTGTTTTTGATATATAACACTTAATGCAAAATATATGAATGAATTGTGTTTTAAATGTCTTTTCATTGTTATAAGTTTATCAAGTAATTTATAACACAAATAAAACTATTTAAGGTCAAAGTAGAAAAATAAAAACTTCAAAAATAAAAAATGGACAATAAATATGGGACGGAGGGAGTATAATTTTTTTTTCCGTTCCACCTCCCAACTCCAGCATTTCACTTTCTCAGTTTTTTTCCTCCATGAGTCTTACTTTTCAATCTTTAAAATGTTTCAACCCGACATGACACAACATATTTATAAGGTTTAAACCTTAACCCGAAACCCGACACGAAAATAAACGGGTTGACACGACACGACACGATAATTAAACGGGTCGGGTTAGGGTCAAGCACTGTCAACCCGTTTAATGTCTTGACACGACACGAACCCGACACGACACGACACGTTTGTCAGGCCTATGTGTGATCCAACTGAGGCGATTAGTTGGAAAAATCTTAGGTATTTACGTATTGCGTATGCGAGATTAGATGAAGATTTGATTGAGAACATATTATCCGGAAGCCCTCAATTGGAAACTTTCATATTGGAGGATTGCTATGGTTTCAGTTTCCTTGATATTACTTCAGAGAGCGTTAAGAACTTGGTGTTAACTGGATACCGGAATTCTAAGCCTTAATATGCTGGAGTCGGCGATGTTATCAAAATCAACGCTCCAAATATTTTATCACTAACAATTGATGATTGTTTGGAGATGCGGAAGCTTTTGTTGCTAAACGTGTCTTCTTTAGTTGAAGCTAATTTAAATTATGCCTTTCACTTATATAATTCCATTACCCAAAGAGGTGAAAGTGGATATGCTTAAAGAGATCATACTAAACCTTCACCATGTGAAGGAGCTTAACTTTGGTATATACTGTTCTAAGGTAAAAATTCTTTTGCTTTGACAATTTAGTATTTTATGTCTTTTTAAAATTATAGTATTTCATTTCATTGATTATCCTTTGAATGAGTATAAAATAACAGGTTCTCATTTTTGTTATGGTTGTGGTTGTAGCTTCTTTCTCGTTTGAAAGCTAAAGGATTCACTTTCCCATCAAATATCAAGTTTCTAAGTCCTAGTTATCATTGGTCTGATAGATACGGTTGAAAGCAAAGATTGGTGATGCTTTGAATTTATGCTTATTAGGTATTTTCATATCTTTTTCTAATTCTTTTTGTGAGGTTTTGATTGAGTCGTTTCATGTGTTGTTGTTTATCTTTTTAGCTGGTTGTTACTCCAAAGCATCAATTGTAATTTAGAAGCTTTGTTGTTGTTTGTAATCTTTGTACTTGTACAAGTTATCGGAATTCCCTAGAGCAAAATGGAAAAATGTTTCTTGTCATGCTCTTCTCTATAACCAACATATTGATTGAACCTATTGTTATATACTGTTAAAGAGTTTTGGAGTTTGATGTTTATTAACCTTTGTGAAGTTGCAAAAGTTGTTAAATTCATACTCAATATCAACAAACTATCTCTTCGGAGGCTTAATGTTGAAAAGACTACGGAATAAACATTCCAAAAAAAAAAAATTATAATATACACTTTTCATTCACTAATGAGTCTTTTAAGGTTATTTAACAAGGGTTCTAGCAATTTAATTTTTATTAATCATGGGTTCTATGTAAAGTCAAATTTTTGAGGATTGTTAACCATGTAGAGTTAATGGTTGATTCATCATTGAGAATGAAAACAAGTTCAATAATACTTAGCAAAGATGCTAAAAATTTACACTTATATACAATCTTGATAGTTTTGGGATGCGACAATATGAAGACAACTCATACAATGACTATATTTGAGAGAAGACAACTATTCAGAAACTACCCATTGAATTTTATCTCCAAAATGAGAATCATAAGATATAAAAAATTATGCAAAAAGATATGTAACGAAGCATAATTCATTACAAGAACAATATTGATAATGAAAACAAAGAAATCATGTAGGAACCCTAACAAACGAATGCCTAAAGCTTAAAAGAATACAAGACCATGTGAATTAAAAAGAAAACGAATACTAAAGTTCTATACTTTTTGAGCCATCTTTTTTCACATATGATGCAACAAAGAGAGAAAAAAATTGTGAAATTTTAATTATTAGAAAAAATTGTAGTTAATAAACATGTTTAAATATTTTTATGTACAATTACAAGTTAACTCTATACTTCAAAAAGTATATAACCATTTATAAATTTTGCATTTATTTTATTACTTTTTCATTATTGGATAAAAAACTTTAAGGTTTGCATAAATTGGTTTTGATTGTAACTATTTGATTAGTTAAGAGTCAAATAATTGGTTTAATAGAAGCTGCAACAAAACCAATTTATAAGTGACAATCTTTCTATAATTTTTTTTCTTATAGATGATAAATATTTTTTTGTCATACTTTTAGTTTAAATTTGCTAACAATATACAACAATGATATATATATATATATATATATATATATATATATATATATATATATATATAGATATATATATATATATATATATATATATATATATATATATTTGTCATTTTATCAATTAAATTTATTAAAAAATTAATATCATAAAAAACCTTTTATATTGACTTTTTTCGGGATTAAAAATCAATTTTATTTTTTTCCTGGAAAAATACATTACATTTTTTTTAAAAATTTTTCTGAAAAGCCAAAAAAACCCTCAACTTTATATATTTTTCTGGAAAATCCCCCAACATTTTATTATTTTTTCCAAAAGAAAATCCTCACACTTGATAAGATTTTTGGGGGAAAAATGCTAAATCGAGAAATAGAAAAAAAAATACAAGTTTTTTTTTGAGGAAAATAATAAAATAAAGTTGAAGCTTAATTCGGAAAAACACCGATATTAACCTTTATTTTAAATAATCAAGATTTAACAAATGACAGAAAAAAGATTACTTATGTGATTATTACAAGTTGGGGCTAGCCCACTTGGCTAACAAGGTGTCTAACAAGGAGATCCTGGGTTCTATATACTAACCTGCCGTTCAAAAAAAAAATAAAAAAAAATAAAAAATAATAAATAAATAGAAAGACATCTAAACATAATACCATACAATGTTTTTTTATTGTTAGTTATCAAATTTTGAGTATTTAATATATCAAACAACCAATATCTAAACGCACTCACAACACTTTATATCCTCTTCTAAAAGGAAAAAAAGTTTATACAATTACAAAAAAAGTGTTTCTTAGTGAGACCTCGTATTTTAACATCATGACATTCAAAAAAGAAAACTATAAAAAAAGGAAATAATTTTTTCTTTTGTCTTTTTCCAAAGGTTTGCAATGAGGGCTCTTTCAAAAGCCACCACCATGGTCGAGACTTTTAATGGCGAAAGGCCCATCTTTTGCGTTTGTCAAATACCATAAATCTCGGTTTGTAAAAAAGGATTGGCATCATTGCAATTTCAAGAATATAAAACACCCTTTTTTGAGTTTTTGTGGGGTGAAGCAAAGTAATAGTCATAGACTATTTGCTCACTTTCTCTCTCATCGCCTCACGACATACCAAAAGAAAGAAGAGCTGTATTCACATGTAGTTGTTTGGCTGATGGGGTCTCTTTATGACCTGAAAATTTAATCAAAAAGGCTTTCTTTTTCCATTTCTCTAACTCGCCAAAAGAGGAAAACAAAATTTTCTCCTTTTTGTAACGCTCGCCGGAGGCCGGAGCTCAGAATGGCCGGTGATCAGGTACATACTACATCTTTCGTTACAATCAGGACTTCTTGTGTGAATCCTCTTTCTTGTTTTCTCTAAATTTTGGGGGAATTTAAAGGAAATCAAGAAAGAAATCGCGAACTGTGTTGTAGCATAAAGAATTGGGGTTAGGGTTTCTGACTTCTTTCGAGGAGTTCTTGCGTAAAAGTTACTTATTGGTTTGTGTAAATTGGGGAATTTCAAAGTAAATCAAGAAACAAAGCTCGAATTGTGTTGTAGCTTACAAAATTGGGATTAGGGTTTCTGATTCTGTAATCTTTGAGTTGATTATGTCGAGTTAGGGCAAGATTCATAATCTGGAGTTGTTCTAGGGGTTCAATTAGGGCTTCAAAGGTCTATAACATGGAACTTTCTATTTGATGTTGTGTTAATGTTAGCTTATCTTGCTAGATCAGTGCTATATTGTATGATTTAGATTTGTTTCTGAACTTCAAATTCTTTTCCATGAGTTTTTTTCTCATTTCTTGAGCTGATCTGGTATTCGTATACCATTGTGGCTCATTAATTTTTTTTTTGCTAAAACTTGCTTTGAGTTCTCATTAATTTGAATTATAAAAGTTGCATGAATGTCTTATTATTTTTTAGGTTTTATATTCCAGTTTATATATTTTCTATATTGTCGTGTCATTAATCGCAATGTAAAAGATAATCATTTCGGATGTTTTTCCATATACAAACAATTGAAATAATAGCTTCATTTGTGTTTTTCATACACTTTTTTTGGTACATATGCTTCAATACCCTAATTCCCTAAAGTAGGAAAAGGAAATGATAACACTATACTAATTCTGTTCATACAAAATCTTCATCACAAGATTTCTATTTTGGCATTTTTTTCTGCATAAATCATATCATAAACTTTTCATCCAACAAAATTTCTTTATAAATTATATTCAGGAAATATCTGCCCCAGTTATCGATGGGAACGAAGCAGCAGCTGGACACATCATATCAACTACAATCGGAGGCAAGAATGGAGAACCAAAGCAGGTACACATACACCACCTTTTTCTAAAATCCAAGGGTAGTTTGGTCATTTTACACCTATCTCAATAATAAGCTTTTTACAACAAATTATTACGAATTTGACTTTATGCAGACCGTTAGTTACATGGCGGAGCGCGTCGTAGGGACCGGATCATTCGGAACCGTTTTCCAGGTATCCATTTCTTTTAATAAAACAAAATTAAAAAAAAAACATTCAAGGTCAAATTTGTAAAAAAAGTTAGAACTTAATTAGGAAAACCGATGTTTGATATGCGTTTTATTGGGTCTGACTCGGTCAGATTCAGACTGTTTGATACCACACACACACAGACTTAGAAGGCTTTGACTCGATCAGATCTGACTCAATCAGCAACTATCAAACAGTCTTGAAGTCATTATTTTTGTATAACTTTTTGTTTTATACTATTTGTTATCTTTTTTTTTTAGGCAAAATGCATAGAAAGTGGAGAAACGGTTGCGATAAAAAAAGTATTGCAAGACAAAAGATACAAGAACCGTGAGTTGCAATTAATGCGTGCAATGGAGCATCCAAACCTTGTTACATTAAAGCATTGTTTCTATTCGACTACAAGCAAAGAAGAGCTTTTTTTAAACCTTGTTATGGAATATGTCCCCGAGACAATTTCTAGGGTTTTAAAGCATTATAATGATCTACGCCAAAATATGCCTCTCGTTTATGTCAAACTTTATACGTATCAAGTGAGTTTGTTTAATTAGGGGCTGTTTTTGTTACTTTTTTGTTTTGCGGGGACTGATAGTGAATGTTTGTTTTTTAGATATTTAGGGGGCTTGCTTACATGCATACGGTTGCAGGAGTATGCCATCGGGACTTGAAACCTCAAAATGTTTTGGTGAGAATTTGTTTTGTGAAAGTTCTTTTTTTGTTTTTTTTTTTTTAATTATTAACCTTTTAGGGTTGATTTTGTTATGTTTTTTCAGGTTGATCCTTTTACTCATCAAGTCAAGATTTGTGATTTCGGAAGTGCAAAAATGCTAGTATGTTCTAAATCCCCTTCAATTCATTTTTGAAATGTTGAAATGACCATTATGTCCTTTACTTCGCTTTTTTTTATTTTGAAAGCTACTAAATCAAACCCAACGTATAACTTCAATGGTGTGATTTTTCTTTCTAAAGTTAAAATGCTATTTCTTATTGTTTCCTTTAACTTAACCATGGTTAGGTGAGGGGAGAAGCAAATATTTCATACATTTGCTCACGTTTCTATCGAGCACCAGAACTGATTTTTGGTGCTACTGAATACACCACCTCCATTGATATTTGGTCAGCTGGTTGCATTCTTGCTGAACTTCTTCTTGGACAGGTTTACATTTTAAAAAAAAAAATAACAAATCTTATAACATTTTCCATCTGAAAAGGAAAAAAAACATTATTGTACATCTTCACGTATTAATTTCGACATTTTTCGCATTTGTAGCCTCTATTTCCAGGAGAAAATGCTGTTGACCAGCTTGTAGAGATCATCAAGGTGTGATTTTATTTTTGTCGACTTAAAAATTGAAAGTGTTATTTTATAGTTTTTTAAGGTTTATATATAAAAAAATTATTAGGTTTTGGGTACACCAACTCGAGAAGAAATCAGATGCATGAATCCAAACTACAATGATTTTAGGTTTCCTCAAATAAAGGCTCACCCATGGCACAAGGTATGATCTTTTTATTTTTTTATATTTTTTGTTGTTCATCTTTCTAAAAAAAGTAAATTTGTTTTTTTTAAGGTTTTCCATAAACGGATGCCTCCAGAAGCAATTGACCTTGCATCTCGACTCCTACAGTACTCCCCAAGCCTTCGCTGCAATGCTGTAAGTTCCTTTACACTCAAAAAAGAACATTATATATATATATATATATATATATATATATATATATATATATATATATATTATAATGATGTATGTATGATTTTATGGGCAGCTTGAAGCCATGGCACATCCGTTCTTTGATGAGATAAGACAGCCAAATGCTCACTTACCAAATGGTCGACCATTGCCTCCTCTTTTTAACTTCAAACAAGAGGTAAACCATGTTTAATTAACTTTTTGGATAAATGATGTTAAATAAATATTTTGAGGAAAAAAAATGACACTACACTTGGGAAAATGGAAAGAAAACTGAAATGAGGGCAAATTTGTAAAAAGGTAGGACTTAATGAGCAAAATCCTTCTTTCCTTGACAATCTATTCTTTCTAACATTATGTCAAAAAAGAAAACATCTATGTATAGCTTATGAGTAAGCTAAATATCCATTTTTTTAACATAATGTAACTTTTAAATCATATTTTTTATGGTGATTTACTAAATGGTATTTTCATGGGTCCAGTTGTCAGGGGCATCTGTAGAGCTTGTCAACAGGTTGATTCCTGAACATGTGAGGAGGCAAATGAATTTACAATTTCCACAGCCTTCAGGGTAAACATAATATCATATTATGGGAAAAGCCGATTTCAGGATTTGTGAAAATGGGCGTAAAGGTCTTTTTACACAAGGGTAAAGTTTGAAGCCCAAAGATCCAAAGTTTATATAGCTAGAAATACATGGAGACGAGAAGTGAAAGGTGTGGAGTTTTGGTTGTTTCTTGCTTGCCACTATTGGGAGGCATTATACCCCACTCATTTTGTAGGCATACAATAACAATACTACTAGCACTATGTTTTTTTTTTCTTTAAACTTGTTATGTAAATACCTCCAGAAACTGTAGGTGCTGTTTGTTTTCAATTTAATTGACTTAATGAAGTCAGGTAATCTATATATGAATGAGTGTTTCTTTAGGAGAAAGTATGATACAGAAAGACAACTTAACAGAGAAAGTCATAGAAACAAATGAAAGTGATTGTGGAATTGAACTGATGGACTACTTTAGGAAACAGGGTGCACGATCAATTGCGTGACAAACATGAAAACATGAAATGAACAAACCACAATTTACAATTTATGTTAAGTTTTTATTTGAAAAATATGCAACGAACAAAACTCAAATTACAATCGAAGTAATAGAAATTAAGGGAAAACAAATGATGCCTTGTGCCAAAGATAAGTTGTGACTTGTGTGCAATAGAAACGTGACGATTGTCGAATAGATGGTTAAAATGTGAAATTATAATCCTATAAAAATTTTGATTTGGTTAAGGTTGTGTTTGTAATATAGGACATAAGATACTTAAATAAACAAGTGGCTTTAGAGGGTGTGTACCTTGGTGGAAAACTTTAATTTATTTTATCCCATGAGTTTTATTTTGATATAAACATTTTATAACAGAACAATACTTATTTTTATATATATTTTTTAACATATAACGAAGGGGTCCTATAAGAGAACTTTTCTCTTATAGAACAACGTTGCATTTTAAACATAATTAAAAATTGGCAAGATCTACGTAGAACCAAGATGGGGAGGCCGACCCCACTTGATGTCCTACCGGACCGTCAGGGGCGTATCTACCAAGCCACTAGGTAGGTCCTAGGACCTACCTAAATTTTCAATTTCATTTACAATATATATCTTAGAAAAATTAAAAACTACCTTAGAAAATATAAAGGACCTAACTTGAGTTTGTTTTTTAAAAAATGTCTTAAAAATCATTTTAAAATGAGAAAAAAATAAGTTACTTGGGTCAATTTGTGATTTTAAATTATGAGATTGATAACAAAAAATTAACCACTCTTAATCGGCACTCTCAAAATATCAATAAATAAATAAATCGCTCTGATAAAAAGAAGTCCACATTCCAAAGACTCTCACTCTCCGTTCACCGCTTTATCAATGGACTAATAATCAACTAGTTTTTCATTAAAACGTACGGTTTTTGTCATTTATATTTCAATCGGTTTTTTAAAATTTTTAATCGGTGGTGCATGATCGGTTTTAATAGGTTGAACTGATTGGTCCAATTTTTTTAAGTTACACGATCCGACCCGACCCAACCCCACACAAGTGTTGTTGATTTTTTTAGTGGCTTCACTTAATTTGGGAACCACGTGATTTTTTAGTCTAGATTCGCCACTGCAGACCGTGTAAAATAATTCAAAAATAAAATTAAAGTTATTTAGATTTTGTTTTAAGTGCTTTTGAAAACAATCCACCAATATTAAACAAAGAGGATTGTCAAACATTGGAAAAGTCATTATTATGTCCCTTTTCCTTTTTAACACCCTCCCCACCACGTTGAGACGAGAGAAAAAAAATAGAAAGACCTTATGTCGCTATAGAAATGAATAGTATCAAAGATCTCTTTATAACCAAAAAAAAAAAAAAGTCAAAAACGCATGTCTTAGAGTGTGAGGTATATTGTTCACATCTCATGCAACCATCTCCTTCCACATCAGCTTTCAAGCCACAAAGAAGAGGGAATGGTGCAAAGAGGTGCCAAATGAGAGAGAGAGAGAGAGTGAGAGAGGTGGTCAGTTGTGGCCTAACCATACCCCTCCGCACCACCATCACCGCCACCTCAGACTCCACCTCATCACCATGCATCCGGTTTTCCATGTATACCCCGTAGCCTTATTTCTTAGGGTTGTTTCATTACAATGATTTGAGATTTGAATAATAAATACTTTAATTATTAAGTGCTAGTAGCTAACTTTTTGAAAAGAGAAAATTACAGTTTTGGTCTTTATAGTATATACGAATTTGTTGGTTTAGTCATAGTTTTAGAAATTTGACATCAGTGGTTCTTATGGTTGACAAATCAATCATGTTTGGTCCCTTTCCTAGTTACCGCCAATGTTTTTCTACTAAATGCGTATGAAATGACTAACATGCCCTTGTTTTTTATCTTTTTATTTTTTCTTTGTTTTTAGAATTATTATTAAAGCAAGTTACAGTATACCAACACCACCGTGTAGCATCCACACCACTGTCTATGACCACTCTATACCACCACCTCCTCCATCATTTTCACCACCATGATCAATTTTCTCCACCAATATCATTTTTTGCCATCACCACCACTGCGTACCACCAACACCATTATTTTCACCACCACTTTCAGATTAAATTAGATTAAGTTACAACACCATTATATCACCATTATTTTCTCCACCAATATCATTTTTTGCCATCACCACCACTGCGTACCACCAACACCATTATATCACCACTTACAACTAAAAAATTAGATTAAGTTAGAACCTAAAACTAAATAGGACCAAAACCCTAAATATTCAAATTAAAATCCAAACCTAAAAAGAATCATCGAACAATGTTTTCTCTCTTTCAATATTTTCTTTGCCTTTGCTTCTTGAGGACACCATTACATGGGGTTTCATCGCCAGGAACGATGGACATCTGGTTGTGGCGATGAAAATGAAGACATGATCTAGAGAAGTTATTTATTTTGTTTGTATGTATAAGGGGAAGGAAAGAAAAATGACGATCTAAAGAGACCATTGCCTCTTTCTTATTTGATAAGCATCACCATTGCCATGTTAACCGATAAACCTTCTAACCAGATGAATTCCCCTATTTATTAGTTTTTTTTTTTTATTAGAGTTTACACATTTGAAATGCACAAAAATAACATTAGGTACCATTTAAAACAAAATGCAATAGTTTGTTTTCTAATAATGACATTATCTTTGACATTTAGTCACTATTTTCCAAATAATTAATTAATCAACATAACCTACGATACCTTATTATAATAGTCATTTATAAACTATTGAAAAAAATTTAATTGCAAGTCGTATATAAAAATACTTTATTACTAAAAATATACATAAAATAAAGTAGGTTACCTTAGGGTGGCCAAATCTTTTTGGTGTTGTAAATAATTAAATAAACTTTTGTTATTGGATCTCTAGATTCTTTCTATTTTATTTAGATATTAATAAAAAATAAATATTTTTACAAGATAAAACAGAAATCTGCAAATCAGTGTCAGCAAGAATACAGCCCTGATAGTCAACTAATCGGTAATTTGTCACTTGACTGTATGCAGATGCCAGAGTGACAAGGGAACCATCTGTGTCATTTTCCAAATCTCAATCTTCTCCATTTTTTCTATTAAACTTTGAAAATTGATTCCCCCAATTTTCCAAACATCACTCCCAATGCTCATAACCTCTCATTAATTTATTCATTTCAATACAATTAACATTAGAAACCACCTGCAACAAGTTAAAATTTTATCATTTTAGTTACTCGAGGAGCTTCGATTCCAACAAGATTAAACAAAAAACACAACATTTTGTCTTCAGAACTGTAGAAACCAACCTCATTCCAATTTTAACTCAAGTGTCCCTTTATTTTAGGTTTTTTTGCAAGAAATCTTTCTAGGTATCGCGTGTTTGCAGTGAAAGATCTAAAGGGCCTTGTTTTTTGGGGAAGATTTTGTCGGAATCAATCGTAGTTAACAGAATGAAGTTTGTCATTATGCTGGTGGTTTTGTTTAGGGTTTCTGTTTCAATGGTGGGTGCTTCCGATAGCCTTCTTTCTCCAAAGGGCGTCAACTATGAAGGTAAGCCTTTTGGTACATTGCAGAAAGAAAAGATTAAACTTTTGTTGAAAAAAATGTCTTTTTCTGATTCGATTAACCTTATTTATGAAATGTTTATTTGATAGTGGCTGCATTGATGTCTATGAAGAATAAAATGATCGATGAATATCATGTGCTTGATGGATGGGACATCAATTCTGTTGATCCTTGTACTTGGAACATGGTCGCTTGTTCTTCTGAGGGTTTTGTAATTTCTCTGTTAGTATATAAGTTTCCCCCTTTTTAATCTTAATCTTTATTTAAGCTAAAGCATTCCCTGTGCTACAACTTTTAAGTCAACTCTATTATCAATTCCTTTGAAATTTGAACCATTGTATTTGGCTTTTTTGTGCAAAAAGAAGAGACCCCATTATGATGTTTTGTCCAAAACCACTTATTTACCTTTTTATTTTAATTTTCTTCAGAATCTTGGAAACATTGTTTATCCAAACAACACTTTATGTCCTCTGAATTGTCAAAAGAAAAAACTTCCATTTTTGGCGTGTGTGTTGGTTCATTATTATTATCTTGAATATCGATTGTCACATTAATTTTTAAGTTTGAATGTAGCCTTTTGAATCCCAACTATTGAAATATTGACTCCAAATTTGAAACAAAGGGAACACATTCGTATTTTGTGTAATTTAACTTTTTTTTAAATATGTTTTCTGCTAATCCTTTGTAGTGAAATGGCTAGTACTGGATTGGCAGGAACAATATCATCAAGTATTGGGAATTTGGGACATCTTCATACATTGTGAGTTTATTGAACTCTTTCGTTTCTTTTTATAAAAGGATATTTTCATTTAATAGGCTATCTATGTTTTGATCATGTTTATAAAATCTTATTCAAGAGATCCATATACAACACATTTTTTAGTTATAGCATCCGAATTTTGGTAGTACTCTATACCATGAAAAGTGTTAGATTTCCTTTTTGGTGAAAAAGTTCAAGGTGAAATTACGTATTTGCCCATTTTCCGTTATTACTATCTATTTGTGTTATTGTTTGTGATCCAAAAGATTCCTTTATTTTGTCATTGTTTGACAAATGAACAAACACTTGACAAAACCACGTGTTTAGTCTAAGTCAAACACTCCAATCTTCATGGGTCAAAGGGTATCTATTAAGTCGTTCTTTCTGCATTATGTAAAAAAGGAGAAAAAAAAGCACCTTAGTCATTTCTTTTATATTTTTGGCTGAATTTTATGTAGGTTACTACAAAACAATGCATTATCTGGTTCAATTCCAGCTGAAATTGGAAAACTTACAGAATTAGAAACTCTTGATTTATCAAGTAATGAGTTTGTAGGCGAAATCCCAAGTTCATTGGGATCCTTGACTCGTTTAAGTTATCTGTAAGTTTTGTATCAAGTTTCAATTGTTTTCTCATTTTTTTTAAAAAAAAAATATATATTTCAACCTTTGATTATTATATCTGATAATTTTGATTTTATATGTTTTCAGGAGGCTCAACAAAAACAAGTTGTCAGGGGATATTCCTGGACCTGTGGCAAACCTCACAGGTCTTTCATTCTTGTATGTCATTCATCATTTGCCTTTCTTTTGTTTGATTTGACACTTGAAAGAAGGGTAAAACCGTAAAATGCAATAAATAATTTGGAACTTTTTTTTGAAGTAGGAATTAAATCACTAAATTCTAATAATTTGTTTGCAGGGATGTGTCATTCAATAATCTCAGTGGTGCTTCGCCAAAAATAAGAGCTAAAGACTACAAGTAAGATTTTTACTTTTTATTGGAAATTGAAAAATATATAAAGCATAATGTACTTTCACCATTTTATCGATTTATCCATTGAACTATTGTTTTTTTAATGGTTATTACAATAACAATTTAGTGGCTAAATTGATAAAAAGTATTAGTTTAGTGGCTAAATGAATACAATTGTGAAAGTAAGTTGTATTTTGCAATTGTAAATTTTTTAAAAGAGTTACGAAAACTTCCGAAGATTTTCATAATAAAGATTAGAAATATAGTCTTTATCAAATTCGTTAATAATGAATCAAACATATGATTCATGTTACTTTTAAGATTTCACATGCATAACGTTTTTGGCACAAATATTTAATATGAATGATAATGGGTAATGCAGGATTACAGGGAACAATTATCTTTGCACTTCATCCTCATTAAATTGTATCAATGTCCCCAAAGTGGCTAATGGTAAACTTTGATATTAGTTCTCCTATTTTAAACCTTTCTATTTTTCTTTTTCTTATATATACCAATAATTTTTTGTTTCACTTTCTTAGAAGCTAATTCTAACAAGAAAATAGACAACAAGCACCATTGGATTGTGTCTGTTATGGTGGGAGTTAGTTGCACATTTGTGATTTCTATTATGCTTCTTGTTTGTGGGGTCCACTGGTATCGATCTCGCCTTATATGTACATCTTATGGTATATTTTCTACAAACAAACCATCTTTCCTTAATCATCCATTTATAATTTATTTGTGTATTAATAAACAAATCAATGAAAGTATATGTTGCGATTTTTTGAGTTTTGATTTTTAAGATAATACTAACAATTCAAACATTTGCAGTGCAACAAGATTATGAATTTAATGTGGGGCATTTGAAAAGATTTACATTTCGTGAATTGCAAGTGGCAACAGGGAATTTTAGTTCCAAGAATATTTTAGGACAAGGGGGATTTGGAGTGGTTTACAAAGGGTGTCTTGTAAATAAGACTTTGGTGGCTGTGAAAAGACTAAAAGACCCTAATTTCTCAGGGGAAGTGCAATTTCAGACTGAACTTGAGATGATAAGCTTGGCATTACATAGGAATCTTTTACGTCTTTATGGGTTTTGTTTGACTTCGGATGAAAGATTACTTGTTTACCCTTATATGCCTAATGGAAGTGTTGCAGATCGATTGAGAGGTATCTAACCTAATAATCCCTTTGTCTCTTGTTGTCAAACCTAATAAGTTGGGAATTCGAAATTGATAAGATTCTTTATTTATCTTTCTCAATGCCCTTAAGCCGATGCTTTTTACATAATTTAGTGTCGAATGTCGATGTATCTTTTTGTCAAAAGTACATATGTTTTCGATGAAACTCAATATTGAAAAGTTGTAATGTTGACTCTCAAAAGTCAACATAAAGGTAAATTGTCATTTATTCTCATTCAGACGACTCAATCAGTCCAAAAAAGAAACAATCTTTGTTCATACAACACTTAATCAATAAGCTTTTTACAAATTCGTTTGTCCAAAGCGTATATTGTTGTCGTGTTCCCAAATGTTTTATAAACACGGGATAAACAGAAACAAAAGTCGTAATTTTTTCAATACGTTTTTCTTTAATTTTATAAACTTCGATTTACAGACTGTGGTCATGAAAGGCCAATTTTGGATTGGAGTAGACGGATGCATATTGCACTTGGAGCTGCAAGGGGACTTGTGTATTTACATGAACAGTGTAATCCGAAGATAATCCATAGAGATGTAAAAGCTGCAAATATTTTGTTAGATGAGAATTTTGAAGCAGTTGTCGGTGATTTTGGTCTTGCTAAGTTGTTAGACCCCCGCGATTCACATGTCACAACTGCTGTTCGTGGTACTGTGGGCCACATCGCACCTGAATATCTCTCCACTGGACAATCCTCTGAAAAAACGGATGTTTTTGGATTTGGGATTCTTTTGTTGGAACTTATAACGGGTCAAAAGGCATTAGATGCAGGAAATGGTCAACTTCAAAAGGGAATGATTCTTGATTTGGTAAGCAATCTCCTCTTTAATGATTAAACATAAACTATTATACTACTTTTCGGTTTTTAGCTAAGTACTTGGTCAAGGTCAATGCGTTGACTTGGTTTATTTGACTTTTATAGGTTAGAACTTTATACGAAGAAAAACGACTACAAGTATTAATAGATCGAGATCTTAATGGTTGTTATGACAAAGAAGAGCTTAATGAAGCTGTAAAACTTGCTCTTGTTTGCACTATTGCACAACCAAATTCTAGACCAAAAATGTCACAAGTCATGAAGGTTCTAGAAGGTATCACTGGTCAACCGGTCAATTTAGAAGACACACAAACGGGACCCACACAACCATGTGAGGGAACGAGTTTTAGTTTTTTCAAAAATCATAGTGATGCTCATGATGGGTCTTCGTTTATAATTGAAGCAATGGAGCTATCAGGACCCCGGTGACAGATTTTGAATTAGTTGTGGTGTAATTGTGAATATTTAAAGTTTAGGGGTTGTGGTTTTAGAAAGTTTTTGTAAAGAGATGTAGCCAAAGTTTTGTAGTCAAGGATGATGACATGGCTTTGACATTTTGAGTACCTATTTGAAATATTGTAAGAATTTCAAAAATTGCACTTGGTATATATATGTTTAGTTCTTGGAATTATTCGGAAATTGACATTTACCCCTTTCACTTGTATCAGATGATGAAGATTTCTTGAATTGTTCTAGAGATAACAAATGAACCCAAATGAACTTGAGTTGTTATCGGAAATTGACATTTACCCATTTCACTTGTATCAGATGATGAAGATTTCTTGAATTGTTTTAGAGATGACAAAGTTGAACTACATTTGATAACATAGGTGTCACTGTGATGCAAACTTGAACTTGATTCAAATGCCTGCATAATATCCGTCAACACTATGGTTGCTAGTCATCAAACAAGTTTGATATGAGGTTTAAAGAAAAATCTATCAAAAACTATGTTTGATAAACAAGTTCAATTTTAACTCTACTCAATTTGATAAGAATAAACACAACTTGATTAATTACTTAATATTTAACACATACTATATGCTAGTCCATCATATTTTCGTTTACATTTTACGCTTTTTCCATTAAGACATTCCATTTTAATTCATATAGGGCTGATGTTTTATATACAAAGATCTTATGCAAGGATAACGTCAAGGCAGATACTATTTAAAAAAAATAACAATTATTGAATTTGTTTTTTTTTTTTTTTTTCTGTCAGATGTCTCCTATGAAAACAGTCTCTTAATATTATGTTGGGTGCTGTCGACCATCCTACCTTCTTCTCACCCTGTTTCTATGGGATTGGGTTAATGATGTTATTGAGGAAAAGCAACAACTTTTTTGTAGTCTAGTTGCTTCAAACGCAGGGACAAAAAAATACCATTTATCATTTTATTAAATAGAAAACAGTTATTTAAAAGCGTTACGAAAAAAAGTCATAAATCCGTTGTAGTCTAGTTGGTTAGGATACTCGGCTCTCACCCGAGCGACCCGGGTTCAAGTCCCGGCAACGGAAATTTTTTTGCAAGCCCTCCAAATGCAGGGTCAAAAATGTCATTTCGCTTTCAACATTTTGTTGAACGAAACCCTAACAGGCCTTAAGTTTCTAATAAAACCCTTTTCATCTCCCTTCGCCCTCATTTCTGCTCTTACATCGACACCCCTGCGCCGCCGCACTCTTCCGCAACTACAATGGTAAACGTCCTTTCAAACGCCGGTTTATATTTTTTTTTGTTTATTGTGATCTGATCCGAACTCTTTTTTGTTCATATGATAATTACGTTGAATGAAATGTGTTATAGGCGTCAGAGAGGAAGCTAGCTAATCCAATGAGGGAGATTAAGGTTCAGAAACTGGTTCTGAACATCTCCGTTGGTGAAAGTGGTGATCGTCTCACTCGTGCTGCTAAGGTCGAATACTTCTCTCAATCTCTCTGTCTAAATCTGTTCGTATTCTCGTTGCTGTAATCGCTTACTGATTTAGTTCTTATTTTTTGCGATTAGGTTTTGGAGCAACTCAGTGGCCAATCCCCTGTCTTTTCCAAGGGTAAGATATACTTTATCATCTCTCCATTGTGTGCGTTTTGGCTCCAAATAAGGCCTTGTGTTCCTCCCACTGGTTGTGTGTTTTCCGTTTTATGTTCTATTTAACAAGAAATTGACAATAGAAGCACCACAATAACGTTGCTTTAGTTAAAATCAATCATACTTTTGTAGACTGAACCTTAGTTTTAATCCGTTCGCTTCTGTCAAGTTAAATGAGCAAGCTTTTTTGCATCAGAAATGAAATAAGGAATACATAATCTTGTTTTGATTGTTTCATGATTCTGCTACTTATTTGCAATCATCTGTTTAGGTGTTCATGATTTTGTTGTTTTATGATACAGCAAGGTACACTGTGAGGTCTTTTGGTATCAGGCGTAATGAAAAGATTGCATGCTATGTCACTGTTAGAGGAGACAAAGCAATGCAGCTTTTGGAGAGTGGATTGAAGGTTAAGGAATATGAACTTTTGAGGCGTAATTTCAGTGACACTGGTTGCTTTGGATTTGGTATCCAGGAGCACATTGATCTTGGTATCAAGTAAGTCATTGTTTGAAATCCCCTTTTCATAAAGAATCTACATGTCATTTTTGCCACATCATCTTGTATTATTTTGAACCCTTTATTTTGTGAAATTGCAGATATGATCCCTCAACTGGAATCTATGGAATGGATTTCTTTGTGGTTCTTGAAAGGCCAGGATACCGTGTGGGAAGACGCCGGAGGTGCAAGGCGCGTGTTGGGATCCAACACAGAGTTACAAAGGATGATGCAATGAAGTGGTTTCAGGTTAAGTATGAAGGAGTTATCCTCAACAAATCCCAACAAATTGGAGCATAATAAAATTCAACAGATTTTCTTATATCCTCTCCATTTTGTCTTTTTCAATCCGGCTATTTATGGTGTTGTTTTTTATTTGGTTATGTTATGGTAGTAGTTGTTTTAGGCAGGAAGTTATGCAAACTCCTTTTCATTTTCCTCAAATGTTTTCTACAAGATTCTTGAGATAATGTTTTAATTTTGGTGTCGTTAACACAAAAATGCTTTGTTTGATAGTTTTTGTTCATTTTGAATAGTAAGCAATCTTAATTTATAAACAAAAGATAATATAAAGAGAAATTTGCAAAAATGGTCTGTGTTTGTAATTTTCTTGGAAATGAAGACAATGATAACAATACAGCACATCATAGTACAATGCATAATGATAAAGAAGAGTATAGTGATTTGATTTTCTTGTGTAAAACCATTGTTATGATTGTTGTTTTTGGATAATGACTATTTAGGTTTGTAATTTGGGTTACACTTGAACATGGTATGTTTGTTGTGGTAATACATATGGCTGTGGTTATAAAATTCAATCTTTTGCATTTGGTGGGTTTTTTTTATAATATGTTGTTAACGGTGTTGACGTTGGAACATATTGTCATATGTTTTTCTTTTTCATATGTTTTGAACATATATATTATGGTAATGGTGTTTAACATCTTTCCAAACAATAGATTACAAATTTCACATTATCATCATAATGTATGTATGTGTATGTATTAATTGTGGTAGTGTCTATAACATTGTCATTATCATCTTTCATCGTTACCTTATTATATATATATATATATATATATATATATATATATATATATATATATATAGGGAAAAATGAATATACATTACAGCCCCACCTAAGCTTAGGTACTAAACTCATGAAAATACGTCATTTTACTATATAAAGATTGCGTGTAGATCCAAGATCGACGCAATAGTTTTGATAAAGAAACAGGAATATTGATTATATTCGACCTTCGTGACAGTGAAAAAGAGTAATGTTCGCTAGGGTGAAGTAATAATCAATAATAGAGGAAAGAAAACACGGATGGTAAAATGATAATGGAGGAAAGAAATGTTATCGATGATTGTATATTTAACAAGTGAAAACCAAATCGGGTATATTTACTAAATTAAAACGACATATTTTAGAGGTTTAGTACCTAAGCTTAGGTGGGGCTGTAATGTATATTCCCTATCCCCATATATATATGTGTGTGTGTGTGTGTGTGTGTGTTTGTCTAAAACATTGAAACTTTTACAAGACTACCAATTTAACTACAAAAATTTCCATTACTATAATACTAAGGTATAACCATAATGGATTGACATTGACAATGTACATAGGTCAATTCATCAAAATAAGTAAATCCAGAAAAACCTTATCGCTATCATAACACCAAACCAACAAAAGAAACTGCATAACAATAATACAAACTATATGGATTGACAATTACAAAATATTAAACCCTAATTCCATGTTAGAAAAAACATCATAAAAGAAAATCCATCTAGCCAACAAGTAAAGTTTCATATTTTTAGCATCATCCTCGAAATCTTCTATTGATAACTTCAGAGTTTTGATGTTCGTAGACCAAGTATAATAGCCCCAGTACGAGATCATATTGGTGGGTCAAACTATCCAATGAAGACACATTTTGAATCCTTTCCATAATCGCAAAACATAATTTGGATTAGAATTTGAAAGTAATAGATTTGATTGATAGATGAACTGATTGTACATGTATCGTCATATTTGATTGATAAATGAATTGATTGAACTCGTATCTCCTCCCTGAATTCAATGAAGTCCACAATGTGCGCACCACAACTACATTCTGACAGAAACAGAACATCATCGTTGTTGTAACATCCCGATTCTCAAGTATGAGATTTATTTCTTTAAGCATATTTTTCCAGTGGAACACAGCGTGTTGGTAGCCTCAACACGACGTGTTGAAGGACTTTTGGGCCGCATATTTTTATGGATCAACACGACGTGTTGGTGAGGGGAAACTCGACGTGTTGGCGGCTAGATGAGAAACCCTAAATTTTAGGGTTTTTCACCCTATTTAATCTCCTTAAGTCTATAGGGCTGATCTTTTATCAGCCTCCAAACCCCCATATTGGCCCTTGTGAACCCTAATCATCATTCCCCCTTATTTGTAAGTTAGTGTGGTATTTTGGAGCAAAAGAAGAAGAAAGTTGGAAGAAAGAAGCAAGGATCTAGCAAGCAAAGCTCTCATCTTCAGCTTGGCACTCTTCTGGACCTTTATAAGTGTCCAAGATCCGATTTTTATTCCTCTATGTAGCTAGATCTTGAGTTTTGTCCATTTTTCTCCTTATTCTTGTATGTTGCAATGGATGGATCTCATAAAGTTTGCAACTTTATGAATCCTTAGGTTAAGGTGACCTTGTAGTGGTTTGGATCTGGTCTTTAACCAAGTTTTGATGCCATGCATGGAGTTTAGGTCATATTTCCCCCTTTTTTGACCCATTTTGGGTTCAAGACATGCATTGGACATGCATGTCTAAAAAGCACCAACCTTTAGGTTGATTTTGATGCTAGAATCTCTTCTGTAAAGGTTGGGTTTCAGATCTTAAGGATTTTGTGCTTATTGGTTAAGCCCTTGAATTTTCAAGCCTTTTGGATAAGTTTTTGAGTACTTGGGGTAACCCCAAAGGATAAAGTTGGAAACTTTATCCTTTTTATAGCATTTGAGTTTAGATATGAGTTTTGGAGGCCCTGGAATCGTGTGAACAACTGAATGTATTAAGCTCGAGCAAACACGACGAGTTTATTAGCAAACTCGGCGTGTTGGCTGGGATTTTCCCGATCATCTGATAGTTATAAGAAACATGACGTGTTTATTAGTAAACTCAGCGTGTTGGGTCAACATGGACTGTTGACCTTGACCGTTGACTTTTACTTTGACCATAGCTGACCAAGTTTGACTTTTGAGGGCATTTTGGGTATTTCAGGATTTTGATGGAATTGGTCATATGGTGGTTGTAGCATTTGATTCGGGAGCTGAGATTCGGAGTCAGACCTTATCAGTTATGCACTGCTTAAGAGGTGAGTTTTCCTCACTATACTTGCGGGTTGAAGGAACCAATGTCGGCCCATTGGATTGATATCCTGTTACGCATGCTATTGTATTGTTATGATTTGTTAGATCGGTATCCTAGTAGATAGGATGTTGCTATGCTTAGTGATCTGTAGATCCGTGTGACTGGTTGTAGACTGTTATATGATTATCTGTATTATGTGCACATGGTTGGTTAGTGGCCGAGGCTTCACTGCTTTGTGCGTAAGCCAACAGGCCGGGGCATTCCAACCCGATGGTTGAGGGCCTAGAGTATTCCAACCTGATGGTTGATTGGACCCATAGTATGTTGGCATTCTAACCCGATGGTTAAGAGGCCTGGGGTATTCCAACCCGATGGTTGATTGGGCCCATAGTATGCTGTTATTAAATTTGTGTTGTTTGCTATGTATTGGTATTTTGGGGGAACTCACTAAGATTTGGGCTTATAATTTTGGATTATGTTTCAGGTACTTCAGAGGATCGCGGGAAGGCGAAGGCGTGATCGTGCACCTTCTCATATTTTATTTCACGATTTTGGGATTTCTCTGATGTTGAACTTGTTTTTGAAAACAATTTGTAAACAATGATGGTTTTTGAGTAAATTTAAAAGTTTAAAAATTTTGAGAATTTTATGAATGTTACAGTTGTTTTATGAGAACTTCATGAAAGAGCTGTTGTGGAAGAAAGTTTGCTTAAATAATAACCATATATTGCAACTTTGGTCCCTAGACTTAAAAAGACTGAAATACCATCCTGTATGGGGCATGTGGGGTGAGAAAACGAAGGGTGGTTAACGACAATCAACTTTAGAGACCAATTCCATAATGAAACCTTGAAATAAGGATCATTTTTGCAAGTTGAAACTATTTTTGATCTTAACCAAAGAAAAATACAAACCACGGGGACAATTTTTGCAGTTTCTCTTATATAAGAGTAAGGTTTTAGCATTTATGACACTTGTCTTGCAAATTGCAATAAGTCTTTTTCGCATATGGAAATTTGTATGAATTCTAAGACGATGAGGATCATTAGAAATAATGTTGGAGTTCATATGCGCTTTTTATATATGTTGATGTTGTTGGTGATTTTAGTGTCACCATGTCATTTTATGTAATTGGAACTAACATGTGAGTTAAGGGGCTTCATAATTTGTACTCTAATATATGTACGGGTTGGTGCAGAGTGCACATATGTATAAGATCGAATTAAAAGCCGGTTCGACGACAAGTCGGGGGTCCGGGGGCAACGCCCCTGGGTCCGAAGTTTCCAAAGGGGCAACACCCCTTTGGCGAGGTCTAGGGGCAACTCCCCATAGCGGGGTCCAAGGGGCTCTGCCCCTGGATGGGGTCCTAAACCTCTCCGATTTTTACATATGAGAACATAGTAGGAAATTCAGATTCTTGAGGGTGATTATGGTAAAACTAATGAAATTCGTTAGTTTTGGAAACCCTAAATCATCATTAAATTTCGGATTTCCTGACTTGCTTTTAAAGCAACCTATGACGGCCAACCTTAATGGAACCCTAATCTCGTTTATTATATAAATGACTCTTCTCTTTGAGAAGAGAGATACGAAAATTATTAGCTCTCGTTTTCTTCAAACTTACACAGAAACTTTCTAGCAATTTAGCTTACGATTTATGTGTCTAGAATCGTAAGTGTCATCTTGGATTATCCTAGTGTAACATCCCAAAATTCAAGACCAAAAATTTCGTTTTTAATTAAGTTATTATAAAATCAATAGTATAAAAACATTCATAATAACATCACATGTCAAGACCCAAGTGTCAATAATCAAAACATGTTATCATAAAACAATATCAGAGTGTAATCCCAAAGATCTCATGTGCGGAAAACATAGTGTGATGTGCTGCGATCGAGCCGACTCCATTTCTTTGAAAACGAAGTACCTGAAACCAAAACTGAAAACCGTAAGCACGAAGCTTAGTGAGTTCCATAGATACTACATACCATACATATCAACTGATCTATACATGCCATACATAACCATGAGCCATACATATATCATAACCAATTAAGGTGCTATGTGCCGCACATAGTCTTTCCATTATGCCACGGGCAGCTACCTGGTCTTTCTTGCCAAGCCGGGGGCCATCTCCTGGGTCTTACAGATAAGTGGCAAGAGCCACCTCCTGGTCTTCCATGCAAGCATCACAAAGACAACTAGCATACATACTACTCTACTTGGCTAATCAGCATACAGTGTGCTAGGAGCCATCTCCTGGTCTTTCATACATAATGCCTAGGGCTAACCCCCTGGTCTTCCTACCATACATAAAAGCATACAATATGCCATGAGCCTCCTCCTGGTCTTTCATGCATAATGCCTAGGGCTAACCTCCGGGTCTTCCTACCATACATAAACTAAATGGGCCGGCATTGTGGCCGTAGACCCATACAAGCAGTGAGGAGACTCACCTCGCACTGCTGAAGTCCCGCGAATAAATCCCTGGCGGTTGACTGACAGATCCCCAAACTGTCAATCATCAAAACAACACCCAATTAATGATTGGGTTTCAAATGCATAACCATAAGTCCATGCTTGGGGTAAAAGACTACTTTACCCCATCTTAGCTTGATTCAAGCCCAAGGCCCAATCCAAAGGCCCAAAAGTCAAACTATGGCTCAAAGCCCAACATATGGCCCAATTTTCCAAATTAGGCCCAAACCTCTACATGGTCTTCCCTAAGGCCCAACCATTTAGTCCAGTCCAAACATTTGGCATTGCTAATGGCCCAATATCTCATAATCATAAAAGCCCAATTATGGTCCACCTATGGCCCAATTTTCCAAATTAGGCCCAAACCCCTTACATGGGCCTTACCCTAAAGCCCATTAAATTATTCTAGTCCATATGCTTGATTTTGGATGGCCCATTAATAGCCTAATCACCAAAGCCCAATAAAAAGACCCAACTCAAAGCCCAAGTGAAATTAGGGTTTTCACTTAATCCATTAAGTCCATCACTCTACTAGATAAATCATATGTTGTGGTCGGCCTTAATACATAGTCCAACTCCAATGGCCCAAAATGTGGGTCCTGATAAGTCCAAACCAATATATCCAAAATTAGGGTTTTCTAAACCCTAATTAGGGTTTCCAACCCAATCCCAACCCAATAGGCCCAAAAGTTAAGTCCTTTAGATCCATTAGGGTTTCACTAGGCCCATTAGGGTTTCGCTAGTTGGGCACCACCCACTACCACCTCGGATAGTGGTGGTCAACGACGGCTCACGGCAGCGGCCACCACCTCACGGTGGTGGTTATACGTTTCTTTTATTATTCTAGCCTCGGTTACAATATTACAAAGCAAAAACCCAAATAACAGACACACACACACTAATACAAACACACACACACACACACACAGCCACCCTAGTGGTGGACGGCGGTGGCACATGGTGGCAGCCACCACCTCATGGTGGTGGTGGTGGCCTTTTCTTTGTTTTCCAGCTAGACAAAACACACATACACACACTTCAGATAGCAGTATACACTCCAGCCACCCACATGGTGGCTCACGGCGGCGACAACAACGAATTTGGGATGGCAGCCACCACCTCACGGTGGTGGCGGTGATTTCTTTTGGTTCCCAGTCAAGCAGCCACACAAACTAGCAGTCCTTGCTCGGAAAGCGAACCAAACACCCACCTGTGGTGGGCGGCGACGGCAGCAGCAACACAGGCGGTTGACGGCAGTGCTTCAATGGCGATTCGACATCAGGTGGCGGCTAGCGGAAGAAGAGAATAAGAAGCAGTGGTAGCGGACTTCGACCAAGGGTAGCGGCTCCTCCCTAGCTCGCTTCTCCGGCAAGAAGGTCACGACGTCCGACGATGGACGTGTCTCCGCGCGGCAGCAACTGCAGCGATCGGCGGCTGCGGTGCATTCCTCCTTACTCACGACTGAAATGGCGCAACCCCTCGTCAGTCTCCGTTTTCAGCCTCCACGAAAACATAGCAACAACAATCCTCGACATGGCGGTGGCTACGGTGGTCGGAGGAGCAAGAGGGTGGCGGCCGGAAGTCTAGAGGGTGAATGGTGACGGCTGTAAACATCCCTAGGGTTAGGGTTACCCGAAGGGTTTTATACCTGTCTCCATTCCAAACTCATTTCCATAACGACATAAATAGTCCCTCTCCATAAAAATCTTTTCAAAACAGTTCCCGTATTTACCCATTACACCCCTGTTCTTATAATTCTTTTCATAATAAATCCAACAGTTACCAAATAGCCCCTCCTCTACAAATTATTTCAAATGAAGTCCATATGTTACCATTCAGCCATTAGCTTCCAAAATCTCTTCAAATTAAGTCCCAATAATTTACCAAGTAGTCCCTGCCTTCACAAATATTTACAAAACCAATTCAGAACTTACACTTTTAACCCCCAACTTCTAAAATTGTGACAGTTAGCTCCTCGAGACCAACACCTTGCTATATAATTATTGATTTTAGGGTTACTATTCATATTAATTGTATCTATTTATTTATTTAATAAACGGGGTGTTACACCTAGACTGGATTTCTTGCAACCCAAATATAGGGTAGAAATATCAGTTCGGAAAATGTTCACACGATCAAAGTGGTATCTAGATCTCTAACGTAAACCCTAAATTTTCTTACAGATGTTAATCATGGATACTATGTGACTAATGATAATAAAAGTTTATAATTTAGAACAGTAGGCAACCATCTTTTTATCTATGTATGATATGATAAAAATATAAAAGTAAAATCTTTTGTAAAATAAACTATACATGTTCGATCTTTTTTACAGCAAAGTAGAGTATACTATAAGAAAAAGACGATTAAAAAGCATTTAAAGTAATGATGAAGACCATAATTCCGTCAACCACACAACATCACTCTGTTTCCCACTCACCCAATAAAATTAAAAAATTTGTAATCTCCCATTGAATATGTTAATCAATAAAAATATTTAATAGGTAAAAGAACTAATTACTAAAAAAGAATATTGGAAATTAATATTGTTTCAAGCTAACCATTTATTATTATAAACTGATTATTGAATGTCTACAGAGGCACAGCAAACTCTTTACCTACATACCTATTACTATAATTTTCATTGTACATGTAACGACTAACGTCCGTGTTAGCATAATCATCCATTCCAATGTTGGTAACCGGTTTTGCCGGTAGTTGTCAATATAAATAGATAAAAAGCCAAATTTAAAGGCTATAATTAAATAGACTTTATTGATTAAAATAGTAAGTCTAAATAATTTAAAATTTAAAGATATCAATAACCCTGTTTTTAAAATTAGTTACAGTATTTTACTAAAGCAATTCACGTTATTTGTGTTATAGGAATACAACGTTTTTTGAATTGTATTATACTTTTGATGAGGTTCTAACTGCTGCTTAATCTTCTCTCAGTTGTCACTTATCGTATAATATTCACTATGATTTTAATTAATTAAATCTAACTGTTTGATATATTTATTAAAAGATATCAATATATACTTTGTTTAAACTATATATCAAATAAAAAATGTCACCTGAATGTCATTGTGTAATGTTCACACACACACATGAAATCATCATTTATATTACCATCAAATTGCAATTGAATTCGAACTCATCATTGGGTGGCTTATAATCTTGTGCCTATTTAGAGGGTTAGATGAGTTAACCGTTAACACAAGAAAATTTTATGCCTTATAAACCTATAACGTTGATAAATATATGAAACTTGTAAGTTAATTTTTTATTTTAAAGAATAAATTTCTTTTATAAACTTGTAAAATATGTTTTTAAATGTCTCTTATAGAAAATACATTATTAAATAGAAATTGACTGAAAATACGTTTGATTAATTAAAATCAATTGAAAAGTTACAATTTACCTTTCATTAAACTATATTAACATAACATATATAAGGATTTGGAGCTCCAATTGCAAATTGAACAAAACAAATGTGCTCCAAAATCTAAAAATGAATCTAGCACTTAAATAACAAAATCAAGAAAATTAAAAGGAAAACCATGGCCGAAAGCCCAATTGCTACACCAAGAAGCACCTTGCTTGGCCCCCTATTAACATGCACGTGATTCTTCTTTTCCGTATCATCATCGCCGCCATCACCCTCATCACCACCACCACGGACTAAATCACCCACCGATGACGACGGCTCTTTGAACGCAGGTGGGGGCAAAATGGGCATTCCATGTTTATCACAAGGAGCAATCCCAAGATTCATTTCCTCCGAAATAGTTGAATGATTGTAACACAAATCATCATTTCCACCAATCTTGAACACATCTAATCTCTTGATAAACGATGTATCAAACGGCAAAACTCCATGGAAATGATTGTTTTCAAGATTCAAATACTTTAGTTCCTTCATTTCTGAGATGAACTCAGGTATCGCTCCATTGAGTTGATTCGAACTCAGATCTAAATGAACTAACCCGGGTATGGAGGACATGGATCCGGGTATCGGACCAGATATCGAGTTCGATGATAAAGAAACATTTTGAAGGGAAATTAAGTCACCGAATGAATTTGGTATAACTCCAATGATATTATTTGATGAAAAGTTCAAGACTTTAAGGTTTTTCAGGAGAGTTAATGATGTGGGTATTGTGCCTTTGAGTTTGTTTTTGGAGAAGTCGATGTAGGTTAGATTTGGACTCCAATCTTTTGGGAGATATCCGGTGAGATGTGTGTTGGAGAGTGTTATAGAGTTTAAAGATTTCATGTTGGAGGTGATAATGTGGATACCGGAGGCTTTGATAGGGTCTCCGGAGATGTATAGATGGGTGAGGTTGTGGAAGCGGCTGAGAAAGACGCCGGTTAGGCGTTGGAGGGAGTTGATGGAGGTGAAAGAATGGAGGTTAGTGGAGAGGGAGGTGGGGAAGTGGACGACTGGGATGTGACAGTTGAGGAAAGTGAGGGAGGTGAGGGTGGATAGCGAGGAGAGGAGGGTGGTGGAGAGGCGGAAGTCGGAGGAGCAGCTGGTGAGGCGGAGGGAGAGGAGGTGGTGGAATGGGGTGCCGGTGTCGCAGGAGAATTGAGTGCAGAGACCGTGGGTGGTTGGGATGTGGAGGAATTGAAGGGCTCTTAGTTGTTGTGGGTCAAGGGTGGCGGAGGTGGAAGAAGACGATGGAGATTGAGCTGGAACGGTGTCTGTGGTGGCTGGTGGCGGAGTGGGGACGGTGGCTGTGGGGTATAGGATTAGGAGGAGGACGAGGAGGAAGGTGATGGTGGTTGTGGAAGCTCTCATTGTTGGATTCTTTTTCTCGAGTGTAGTGAACTAGTGATTTGAAGATGAGTGATTTTAAGGTTTGCAAAGAGTATATGCGAAGGAAGAGAACTGTCGTAAAATTACATATATACCCATAACATTTCTACCAAACAAAGCAGTTGATTTTAATTGTTATTACCTATTGGAAGAAATATATTAACCTTTTTAATCATTCGTTCCACAATTAAAGCAATTTGATTAAATTAAAGGTGTAAACTAAAAAATAGTCATGTTTCTCATTTGGCAAAGTTTCAATGTTAAATCGCGGAATCTGATTGCTTCTTAAATCATTAACATTTATTTATGTTGTTTGTTTATGTTCGTTTAAATTTATTTATGTTCAATTGTTTTTTTATTACATTATTATATTATATGTTTGTTCATGTTCAATTGTGTTTGCTTATCTTTGTTCGTTTATGTTTGTTCATTTATGTTTGTTTAGAATGTTCACGAACATAAACGGACGAACATGAACATGATAAGTTGTTAAACGAACGAATATGAACGAGAAAACTCGTTCATTTATTCATTCGTGTTCCTTCGTTTGTTCGGCTAACTTAAACGAACGAACATGAATAAGTCATTGTTCATGTTCGTTCGGTTCGTTAACAACCCTACATATTATATATTAAAGATTGTAGACTATAGATTGACAGAGAATAAAGAGATATGAGCCATAGACTGAGATTCCAAAGACTTCTTTGTGGTATCCTTTAGGTGAAAAATGAGTTTTTTTTATGCTTTTTGGTATTGCATATTTGTTAACCCCGTTTCTTAGTGTATATAAATATTGTTAGGGTTATAAATGAACCGAACGAACACGAACAAAGGCCTGTTCATGTTAATTCGCTTAATTTAGTTGAACAAATGAACAAACATGAACAGATAAACGAACGAGTTTTCTTGTTTATGTTCATTCGTTTAACAAATTACTTTGTTCATGTTTATTTGTTTATGTTCATAAACATACTAAATTAACATAAACGGATGAATATAAATGAACAAAGATAAACAAACACAATAGAACATATATGAACATAAAAAGAACATTTGATATAGTAATGTAATAAAAACAATTGAAAATATATAAACATAAATAAACTTCAATAAACGAATATAAACGAACAACATAAACGAACGTTCATGAACATAAATGAACAAACGAGACCATTGTTCATGTCCGTTCGTTTAACTAAATGAACGATAATTTGTGTTCATGTTCGTTCATTTATTAAATAAATAAACATAAACAAACTTCTCGCCGAATGGTTCGCCGACCATTCGATTCGTTTACAACCCTAGATATTGTTTCTACTGTTAAACCTCATGACGTAACACGATTATCCCGATCTTATGGACCACGTCAATTCTTGTGTTCATTAGTTTTTTAATCTAAGCATATTCTTAATTGCGTTTGACCTTATAAACCCTAACAAAATAATATTTATATAAAAAAATGTCACCCAAACATAACCTTTTAACCAATTAATAAAGAATTTTCACAAGTATCATGTATGTATAATCATGTAATGAAATTCTTATATTCCATTAAAGTTTTCCCATCAATTACATTTCTCCAAACAAACATAAACAACACTCATTCGAACCAAAAAGATCTAAATTTCCAAAATTACAATTTATACCCAACAATCAACAATCAATCGCAATGCATCCTTGAGTAAGACTCGAATCTCCTTTACTAACAAACGGATCGATCTTCACCCACACAAGCGAGAACACCGACGCCAACAACACCGACCACAAAATCACAATCGTCGGAGTCCTGTTTTGCCTTCCCATCAGCCCTTTCAAAAACGGATACAAATGAAGAATCACCCAAAACGCAAAGAACACCTTCCCAAAAAGCGGGCCCCACGCCTCATACCCTTTGTTAAGCGCATCAGAAAATCCCGCCACAACTCCGACCAAATTCACAACCAGAAGCGTCGTCGGAGGGATCAAAACGGTGGTCCATTTTATCATATAAAGCTCGCCGAACTCCAGATCGTCTGCGGATTTGCTGGTCACGGTGAAGTTCGTATCGACTCCCGCCAACATTTTCAGGAATCCTTGGAAAACGGCAAACAGATGGGCGGAGACACCACCGATCACCCAAAACTGCTCGTTACGCCAGAGCTCTTCGATACTAACGCCGCTCCATCGAATTTCCAACACACTGGTTGTAATGATCGATAAGAAGAGGCCCAGAAACCAAACTGCTGCCAGATTCGAAAGCTGAAATCGAAGAACAAATGCAATTACTATTTGCTATTGATGTGATGTTTTAATTTCGTGATCTATGAAATTGGTGATTACTGATTACCGTTGGTATGATGAATTTTCCGGTGAGAAGACAGATCGCCGGCAACGTGCAGTATGCAACGAGAGGGAGAGAGGTGAAGGGGTAGACGATGGTGTTTATATACGCGAGTCTTTGAAGCAATTTCAGGCGTCCGCCGCCCCATCCGTACCACAACGGACAATGTCTGCTTAAGAAGATCTCGACGGATCCAAGAGCCCATCGCAAAACCTGGTGCAAACGATCGGACAAATTGATCGGAGCTGATCCTTTGAATGCAGGTCTTACTGGCATGCAATATATCGATCTCCATCCTCTACAATGCATTTTGAATCCTGTCAAGATATCTTCTGTAACTGATCCATATATCCATCCAATCTGTTCATATTGCAAAAAGTTTCAATCATCACAGAACATAGCTAACTGGTAAATTGATAAAAATGGTGAAAGTAAAACTGTTTTGAGTTATTTACCTCTTTGCCCCATGCGGTTTTCTCTTCATACCCACAACTAATGACATGAATTGCTTCGTTGATCATGGTGGCTGGGTTTGCAGATTCGGCTAATCCTCCATTTTCCATTAAAGTTGATTCTATAAACACAGATGACATGCCAAAAGTTTTCTCAAAGCTCATTTGAGAGATGAGTAATGACCTCTCATAATCATCATAACCTGCACAAACATCCCATTCAATCAATCTTGTTTCTTTTTTACTTAATAGAATTAGGACATAACTTAATCTGATAAGCTATATATGAATATGAATGTTTCTTTTTTACTTAATGCATAAAGAAAAGAAAATGGTCTTACTTTCAATCTCTTTAAGGTTAAAAATGGCGGCATTTAAATCGTCTCTTCTAGAATCACGTTGAAACTCTTCTAGATCTTTCTTAGGCTTCTTGGGTCCACAACAACAACACGAAGATGAAGAAGAAGGCTTTGATAATGCGGGTAGAGATTGAGGTCCATAACCATATAAAGCTTGCCTATAGAACACACAACCCGTTCCCACATAAACCGGCCCTTGAATGCCATCTAATCCTTTCATATTAACCTAAAATTAACAAAAAGAATGCCACAACTTCATTATTTTTTGACATGATTTATTCGGTAACGATTTAACAATCATTATGAGGCTTACATCAAAGAAAACCGTGTTTCGATTGGCGTATCTATCACTTCGGTCAATACCATCAAATCTTTGAGGGAATTGTATATAGCAAACATCACGACCAACTAGTGGGTCCATCAAGAAACACATCGCCTCTCGAACTGCCTTGCTATTGTTTACATAATGATCACAATCCAAATTAAGAATATAGGGTGCATTCGTGAGAACCGCAGAAACCCTAACCTGAAAAAAAAACATATTAATCAAATTTATGTCATAGGTCTGTTTATTTTTACTTAATACAGAAAGAACGACTTTATAGAGAAAGTCAGGTAACAAACACTTTCATCATTAAATCAATAAGTCCTAACAAACACTTTGTGACATCTTTTTATCAAATATTTTTTAAACATCATTTACTGTGTGATGATGTAATTTACGATTTACCAGAGCATTTTCAGCACCGGCCTTTTTGTGGTGTTGATATCCGGGCCTCTTCTCTCTAGATACATAAACTAGCCGAGGAAGCTCATTTCCTTCAATGTCGCGGGCCCCACTGTGTCCTAGGAAAACCTGAAAATATGCAAAATGACGGGGTTATCTAGTGACACTTAATCAAACATGTTTGTTTATGACAAGGTCAACATGTGCGACTTAAAAAAGAAAAGTAAACACCACTCCTATAACTCCCACCAACCGGTCCCACAGCTAACATAAAGCTGATGTCCAGGTTCAATGAACCTAGACCTCATTTTGCATTTGTTACACGGGACACGATAAACTTTCTAGGACTATTTTCAATAATCAGGAGCAGAAGGGCAAAAACGTCTTTTGCACCTGAATCATGCCCGGGTGGTCACGTGTGTTATTTCCCGGCCACGGGGTTCCATCTTGCATGGTCCATCCTTCTTCCGGAGTTTTCTGAGCTTTAGCCACTAAAGCATTTACCCTCACTTTATACTCCTCATAATCCCGCTACAAAACATAAGTATACTTTAATTTTCACTCATAATACCAACATACTGACAATTTTTCCAAATCAACATAATAAACTCTTTCAAACTTACTTTCATTGCTCTACGTTCCTTCACAAACGAAGGTTGGACTTTATCTTTCAAGTAATCGATCTTTTGTGAGAAGTAAAATTCGGGTGCACGTGGTTCAATTGAAAACCGTTTACAAAACGGGACCCACTTCCTTGCAAACTCCGCGGTTTCAACAAGGGATTCAAACGAAAGCATTGCAGCACCATCATCCGAGACATAACATGAGACTTTATCAACGGGGTAATCAATGGCTAGGATTGAAAGTACAGTATTGGCTGTGATTAGAGGAGGCTCTTTCAAAGGGTCAACTGTGCTCACAAAGAAGTCAACAGCCGCAAGTTGTGAAGGTTCACCTTCTCTTTCATACCTATGATAGATAGATACATACGGAATGTATTTTAGTTTTTAGTTTTTAGTTTTTAGTTTCTATTCCAATTTTTTAGTTAAATGTTTTTTTTTTTTTTTACCTTGTGGATAGTTCATCGGTGAAAGTAATTCTATTGATGGGACACCATTTGGGGAATTGATCCAAGACCCAAGAAAATAGCAAACCAGATCTCACAAATAACAGAAGTTAGCCATAAACCATAAGAACTTTCAACTGGGTTTGTTATTCTGTAATGAAAGAAAAGTCCCAAAATGATCAATCGCACGATAATCACAACTCTATAAGGTGTGATTTGGCTCTTTGGAATTGGAACTATTTGTGAAAGTGGTTGCATTGCATTCGCCTCTGTTGACCTGTAAGAAACAATTATTAGTTATCATTAATTAAACCATATTAGAAGTTGTCAAGTTGCAACTTTTAATTATAATTTTGATTTTACGAAAAAAATTAAAAAGGGATAAGGAACTAAAATGTCATGTACTTACCCCTGCTTTTCACCCATTTGTTGGTCTACAGGAATTTGAACTTCTTTAGCAACTTTAGCGACACTCTTTTTTTTCTTGTTCTTTTTATCCTTCCAACTTTCGACCCTGTTCTTCCAGATTGGGTTCCCATCTTCATCAATCATTTCTTCATGAAAAAGAAAAACAAAAACAAAGAAAGATTATTTGATTATAAAATAGAAGCTCCAAAATTTCTGAATGACTCAAAATTCAATGCAACTCACCACTATCCACTGTTGATACAGTGCTTATGTTTCTTGCATGAAGTCCAGCATCCTTCACCAAAGAATAAGGAAAATTCAATGTGAATTGTATTCAAAATATATAATTTTTGGTAAAAATGGTTAAAATCGCCATGTTTATGACTTGTAGTTATACCTGACTGTGATTAAGGTGACCAGCCATGGTAGTGTGGGTGACAGGCTCCTTTTCTGCAACATTTGTTAAGCTTCCTGTATAATCGGAAAATACAAGTTGGTGTAGTTATAAAGTAACATTAAAGGAAATTCCCAATTTCAAGTTCATATGCGAATCAAAAGCAAAACAATCCAAAGAAAGGGTTTTTAGAACTAATACCATCATAAGGGGTACCACATTGTATGCAAGCATTATGCCCTTCCTTGATCTCATAATCCAAACAAGCTTTACAGATCGGGAAATTACACTCATGGCAGCCGACAAACACTCCAGTCCCATTAGAAACAAACCCAACTTGTTCGCCACAGGTGTTGCAAATCGGCATCTCCGGGTGCATGATTTCGCTTCCCTCTAAACCCCAATTGGATTGGGTTTTATCTCGCAAACGCTGCGAAATTGACTCGACTTGCTTCCTTCATTTGTTCTTCCTTTTCTTTATATGGAATTCGGATGAGCGGAATAGGGTATGATGTGTGAGGTTGGTGCGCCATTTCAGGATTAGTGAAAGGGAAGGGTTGCTGGTATGGAGGGTGGGATGTTGGTGTCTTTCTAGAATTGAGATTTTGAAGCAAAAGAAAGGTGATTTTCATGGTGTGAAGGTTTAAAAAATTTGCGGGAATTCGAAGGAATGCTGTTAGAGTTGCAGTCTTGCAGATGGGGTTTGTTCATCTCATCGGCATACCTGACAATGACCTGATAAATGTACAATATTTAATGCGTAATGTACAACTCCTAGTTGTTGGAAGTATTTTTTGCCATTTTTTTTTCTAATTTGTCAAAAAAAAAAAAATTTATTAAATTTTAACTACTATATAAACATTATTTTTTGAATTTTTTTATAGGAAAATCTCTGTTTCAATATTTTAGATTAGTTATAGTTTAATCTCAATATTTATTTTTTGAACAAAAAAATCTCAATTATCTAATTTTATATGATAATCTTTTATTTTCTATTGAAAAAAATAAGGATTGTTTCATAAATTTAGGCAAAATATAGAATAATTGAAACTCTTGTGTTAAAAAAATAAAAATTAAGATTAAATCGTAAAATGATCCAAAATATTGAGACTTTATCGGATATTTTATTTTTTTATATTAAAGAGTTTATTACTTTGTTTACATATTTATTATCATATTATAATTGTGGAAACAAAATTAATTTAAGTCCATAACTAATTTCTACTCCTATGTCTTAGAGGATACTCCATTCATCCAAAAAGTTCTATTTTTTTACTAAAAATTATCTTAGAAAACATATCATGATTTAAAACTATTGGTCAATTCTTTTAAATAAACAAAGCAGTGCGTGGACCGGAATTAGTTTTAATTAATAAATTAATAACGATAAAGAAACTTGATTTAAAAGCTTACCAAAATATTGTAATGTGTTAAATAATGTAAATTTGATAAATAATATTATTTTATAAATTAAAGTATTTTATTTTACAGAAAGTTTACATGAAAGTTTATGTCATTTTTTATAAATCAAATTATTTTATTTTACCAGGACATATATTTTATAAAAATAAAGTATTTAATTTAACTGGATTTAATAATATTTATAGATGTATATTGTATAGTGTTGATGCAATATGATAGTCAACTTTACAAATACATGGCTAAGGCTACTCGTTACGGGCAACGCCGAAGGGCGTTATTCCGACGTGACAAGAGAAAAACGGCGTTATAACGCCCAAAACACCATGTAGCCACCGTAAAACACCACAATGGGGTGGATGTAAAAAGAATTCATTGATTTAGCCTTATGATGGAATTCTAGTCTTAAGGGGTTAAGTTGAAAGCTTAACCCCACACCCTAGTGTTGAAAGCTATGATTTTAAGTAAAACCCTCGTATTGGTAAGCCTCTGTAAGCCATGTTCTTAATCCATTAAGCCACCCTTGATACACATATTGATGTATTATTTATGAGCTCTTAAACTAGTGAAAGTATTAAGTACAAGTTTTGTCATTAAGTGCTTCATAGGTGGGGGTGAAAGTTGACTTAATAACTTTAATGATATAAATCATGAATCTGCCTCAAATTTCTAAAAATTATAAAAAAATCCCTCAAAAATTGTTTGAAAGTGTAATTTATATGGTTGGAAAGTTATGAATGTCTACTAGCTTTTATCTACAAACTTCTTAGGCCGATTATGGTCTTAACTAGATCGTTTATCCCGTTTTGTTCAACGCAATCAAGAGATTTGTCAACATTTTGTTGCAATGTGTTATTACTTCTAAAATTCATATAAAATCAACAAAAATCGTTATAATGTGTATTATATATCATTGAAAAGGTAAATGAGTGGATTTTAACAATAAGTAATAACCTTGCTGAAAGAATGAGTTTAAGAGGGTAAATCTATCCATGAACAGATTGCTGTAACGAAAGTAAAAATAAAAATAAAGTATGATATAAGTATTACTAAGTAATGATTCGAGATGCGGTCTAAGTAGAGATTATTGTATGGTATGTAGGAGTTTAGAGAAAAAGAAATTTATCATAGCTTACGACAGGAGTCAGACGACTTGTTATTTAAGTGAGTTACATTAATTTGTTTATTATGTTGACTATGCATGTATATGTGTAATGTTAGAGATCTTGACCATTACAATCCCTTCGGGGGGGGGGGGGGGGGAATAGTTAAGGTGTGGATGATCATGACAAGCCCTTCGGGGGAAGTGACCAGTTCCAAGTATTGCAGTGTATGAGACAAGCCTTTTTGGGGAACTAGTCTGCTAGTGTAGGGTTAGTACCAGCAATATGTGTTAGAAACTTATGTACGATATGATATATGAATGTTATGTGAAAGTATGCGTTATATGAAGGTATATGATTAATATAGTGGATGCATAATTTGCATGTCCACTAATCTTTATGCTTACAACTTACCCGATATTTATTTACGTTTTCAGGACCTTCTGGTACAGATAAGGAAAAAAAAAAACCAAGCATGAGTGCCCATGGTGTTCGCATTCCGAATGTTTTTTGATTACTTGTGACTTAAGTTTATGAGACCTGGGTTTTGACTTACACACTGGTTTTAAATAGTTTTCTTTTGGTAACTCTGATATTACATTTTGAACGTTTTTAGGGAAACGTATTGAATGTTTCCTCATAAAATGTTTTAAATGATATAATTTTTTTTTGGGGGGATGTTACATTGTTATTGCAGTATATGGTCGAAATTAAATAGGTTCCATATCAAATATTTAGCTTTATACATAGAATCACAATTTGTTTGTCAACATTATTACAAAATAATTAAAATTATCTACTTTGTCTATCAATATAACATAATTATCTAATCGTATGTGAAGTATGAACCACATAAATATTATGTGTTTTATATTTTTTTCGTCGCTTAATTGTGTGTTGTCGTTCGAAAACCTTCACAAGAATTTGGATAATGTGATTACATCTGTTTGGATTGTTACAACGATGTAGTTTCCTTTGAAATGTACAAACTTTATTCTAAGCATGCCAAATTCATGAACATGCATTCATACACAAAAATAATGTGTTGCTCTTCATTTCAATTATGAAACGTTAACATGCTATGATATAAAATCGAAAGACATATCCATTTGAGTTTAAGACCGTGAAATGAAGGTATAAAATAGGATTAAAATATAGTGAATTCACTAGGCGGTGTTATATTGTTGCACGAAGGTCTTTCTGAAAATAACCGGTCAAGTACATGATTTGATAAATGATTCCAGGTTAACAAATACATGATTCTAGCAGTCACATTTTATATGTTAATATGATAAATGCATGATGAATAGTTATGTTTACTCGAATGATGTGTGTATATATACACACACGACTTTATAACGAGCATGATGGAGGTTGTAAACATGGAAACTTACTTGCTTAATTATGTATTCATATATCACCGATTGAGGAAAACAAGTTCATATCGATCATTGAGATGATATGTAGCTCGGACCACATAATAAGTTGAAAGTTGATTCATGTCGTTGAAACTTAAAATGTTCAAGTTGTTAATTTCTGTAACAAATTGGATTGGTTGTCGAATGACTATTATTAAAACTTCTTTGTCTTGCTTGCACCATTTTAAGATAATGAACCACTTGGGCAATCTTGGAAAATCATTAAATCATTGTATAAAATCTTGATGATAGAAGATCAAAAGAAATAAAGTTTTTGTAACAAAATTGTAAACTTGGAGACTTAATTGAGAAAAAAAAAACAAAATATCAAAATTGATATTTTATACAAGCTTACTTTTATCCGATTTGCCCTTATATTTATAAAAAAAAAAAACTAAACTAACAAAAATGAAATTGTGTAAAATATAAATACGTGATAAATGACTCCGAAAGTTCAGTTCAATAGCGAGAACCAAAAATGGCGGAATCGAGTGTGGAGACGAACGCCACGCCTACGACTAGACCACAAGCAAGACGGCTGAAAGGTCATAAAGCCATCGCCACCTGCTGTATTGCTTCCCGCGATCGTCCTGGCCTCATCGCTTCTTCATCCGAAGTACGCACCCTTTCTCACCTCTTAATTTGCCTCTTTCAGTTGTGTTATCATTTTACTGTTTGTTTATTGACACTTGCCAATAACTTAATTCCAAAAGAGAGACGAACTCTTCACTAATGAGTTCGTACCTATTTCAACTACGAAATTGATAGGAATTCTTCGCATTGCGTGCATTTGTGTTGTGTTGCTTTTGAGGTTACGAATACTAACATTTAACCTTAAATATGCTATTAATTTCCTGATATATCACGAATTCCTGTTAACTACATTAAGGTTACTCAAAGTTATTACGTATGAGTTCACAAGGCTTGGCTTCAGATTTTAAGGAAATTTTGATACAATTTTTTAAACCTAAGTACCTAACACTGGATTTTGGAGTCAATTTGATTAACATTCAACTTCAAAAACAGTATGTGAGGTCAGACGACTTATCAAAAGGTACTAACTATGAAATTATATAATGGTATATGCAGGATGGGTGTGTTTGCTGGTTTGATATGCGATGTAAAGATCTTTTGTTTACCATGGATGCTGCACAAAATCCTATTTCCTCCTTATGCTTCAAACCAGGTTAGTGTTCTTAGGTTTCAATACATTGTAGCAATTTATCTCTGTTGTTTCAAATGAATATATTGTGCTTTAGTTGTTTGTTAACATGTTTAACTTGCATACTCGATCACATGCATTAGGTTGCTATCTTCAGATTCAATAAAAAATTGGTTTAGGTGCACAAATGCAGGAGATTATATTATGCTATTTCTTTTTTCAAGAAAAGTTTTATAATCTGCTTGTATTTTTTCATATTGCAGGGAATGAGGATATCATATACATTTCCTCAGAAAATGAAGTGAAGGTTTTTGATGTACATATGGTAATTTTGATTAGATAATCATCACATTTCCTCCTTTTATTACACTTAAACTATTCATTGATTTTTCGTTGTTAGGTTTTATTTGACACCCATACTCATTTGGTTGATTTACATAAAGAAAAAACTTACTTGTTCCATGGTTATTCTTTAGAGGTGACAATGTTGAGCTTCATCTTGCAGCTTGCCTCATGGAAGCCATTGGAGAGTTTCAATTACAATAAAGAGGAGATCAACCAGGTTCAGATTTGCATTATCTGTTTTTCTTTTATCTAGAGGGTTAAATGCAAGAAAAATAGTAACACACTTTCATTTATTTCTGTATTATAGCATCCCACTTCCATTTTTTTCTACTACAACATTGAGCATCTACTTCTTTCTATGCAGATCACATGCAACTCAAAATCATCTTTTCTAGCAGCTGCAGATGATGGTGGTGATATAAAGGTTTGGTTATTTAGTTAATAGATTATTTTTTTTTCTACTTCACAACAACGATCACAATAGTCATTTTTGGTTTAATGATCTTATTTTTTAATCTTCTTTTTCTATCTGCTTTATATCTAGTAGCATTTATTCCTCGTAATACTAATTATTATTATCTTGCAGATTATTGACATTCGCCAAAAGTGCCTTTATAAGACATTAAGAGCTGCCCATGAAAGTGTATCCTTAAATTATTTGTCTTGCTTAATCATCCCCCCCCCCCCCCCCCCCCCCCCCACACACACACACACACACACAATTTTCTTGCTTGTCATCTTAATTTATTTTCAGATATGTAGCAGTGTGCAGTTTCTTCCTTGGAGACCTTGGGAAGGTGTGTTTTTTTATATTGCCTTTAATCTGTGAATATTACTTATTTAACAAAGAGTAAATTACCTTTTTGGTACCTGAGTTTGTTCAAAAGTCTCAGTTTTGGTCCCAAACAGTTTCCTCTTTGCAATTTTGGTGCCTATTTTCAATTGTTGCAACAATTTTGGTCCCTATAGGCACCAAAATTGCAAAAGGAAATTTCAAAACACAAATTTTGAACATTCTCATGGACCAAAATCGTTACACTTTTAAAAATAAACATTAAAATTGCAAAAGGAAACTATCTGCGGACCAAAACTGCAAATTTTTTACAAACTCAGGGACCAAAATTGTAACATGTTTCTTTTGCAGTAATCACTGGTGGGCTTGATTCAAAGCTTATAATGTGGGACTTCTCCAAAGGACGACCATTCAAAGTTATGGACTTGGGTATGATTGATTATGCCAAATTCATGTGTGCAAAAGACGTTAATGCCCTCATTAGTTTTAAATATATACATTTTTTGATTTTTCTCTTCCTTTAGGTAAGTCTGATCCAGAGAGCAGCAGTAGTGGGGCCCAGTGTTTCAACCCTGCTTTTGTCCATGCAATTGCAGTTCCTGAAGTTGATATGTTGGAAAAGCTTGACAAAATTTGTGTGGTGGCAAGAGGTGATGGTGTTGTTGATGTAATAAATATTGAATCAGAATTCACAGCTGCAAAATCTAAAGCTAGAAAAACTGGTCAAACAAAGTCAAATGGAAAATCTTCATCTCAAAATCATCCCGAAAAACAAGATCAAAATCAACGGACGAGATTGCGTTTGGATTATTCATGTGGAGGACATACTGCTGCTGTATCTTGTGTGTAAGTCATCATTTTTGACTTTTATGTTTAAATACATTAAAACTACTTATAAAAATTGTGATATTTTTTAGGGCGTTTTCTATGTTTGGGGAAAAAGGAAGGTATGTTATATCAGGGGGAAATGATAAAGCTGTGAAAGCTTGGAACTTGTCAAGATTCTCTGAAGTGGATCAAACTACCAGGGACAATACCGACATTCTACATTTAAACATAAATTTGACCAGAAAAGTAAGTCTACTGCCTACTCCATTCCCTATTTCTTCAAGGGTATTTTTGGTATTTTAACTTTTGAAATGTTGGCAGGTCAATTGGCTGTGCAGCACCCCGAGTGATTCAGATAATCTTGTTGTATGTGATACATCTAAAGTAGTGAAGGTTTATACAGTTGCATAATCAACTGTAACCTGAAATGGCTTCATTTGTTGAAGGATTTTTTTTCCAATTAGATTGGCATTTAGGTATTTTAGTGGTTTCACAATTTTGAACATCTGTAATAAGTCTTTTACAAATCTTATGTGTCTATGAACATAGTTCAGATGCTTAAGCAACTATGAACATCACCATCAAATACTTGAAAGAAATATGCATGGAATTTTATAGTGTTCTTCCACTATGTCAAAACAAAAAAAATGTACTGTTCGATAAGAATATATATATATTTTTCAATATGTTTTATCGAACTTTTGTAGAAAAAAAATGTTAAAAAAAACAAAGACTCGATTAAAAACAAAAATAGTAATTTTTGTGAATATGATGGGACGAGTATCATATAGTTATAATGAGAAATAAGTCATCCAAGAAGCATATTAAGGTTTGCTGGAAATATGATAAATATTATGAAGTCACATAAAACTCAAAAGTATTTTCGGTTCTTGATGAGGCAACTTTAAAAAGTCGTTTAGAGCATATTGAAAAATACCCTTCAAGAAAACTCAAAGGCATTATACCTAGAATAAACCGATTTAGTTTTTCAGAATATTCACAAAATAAACTAGTTCATATGCCCATGATAAAAGGCCAATTTAGAGACATCTAAAGGACATGCTTAGCAAGGGAAAGACTGGAAACAATGAGCTTATTGAAGAGAAGAATTACAGAGCAATTCTCCTTGGGCTGAAAACCCTACAACTTCCATGAATTTGGAGCATATATTATATTCTGCCAAAGGAGAATTGCCCAGCCATTCTATATCTCTCCCACTGCAATGAACATTCATTCTACTTACATTCTACTTACCACCTTCAGAATTTGGTACATGAAATCATGTCGAGATCGATGATATGCTCGATAAAAGATATTCCTTCTCACCATGTGAAGTTCATGAAGGCCATGAGTTTCTCATTTTTACATTTCTTGACAGGATAAAGATATCAGTTGCATTCAACCCTTAAGTTACTTGATTTACATTTTATGGTACTTTAGTAATGTTAGCGGTGTCATATATTATCACATTTGCAGAATAACTTTAACCGGTGATTCGCATGTTGATTGAATATTTGTAACTTCATATATAGTTATGGACTTACGGTGCTTCAACAATTTGATTACCGCTACTCGAGTTCAATATTTCATCTTGTGATCACAATCCAGACAAGTTTTCTTAAAAGCAAATTCCACAAAAGTCACTAAGTTTATATAGAAATTCGATTTTGACAATGTATTATTTTTGTCTCAAATTGAACACTCTGTTTATCAGTTTCTTACAATTCTACTAACATGTCATGCTGACGTGTCAATTTTGATGACGTGACATGTTGGCATTGCATGATGGCACGACACTTTTGGTGATATCACATTCTGGTTGTCAAAATTTAAAAAAATAAAAATAATGTATTGTGACGTTTGTGATAATTTTCCAAAATGGAGTGATTTTTGTGCAACATGGTATTATTATATATTTTCCGGTTACAAATAACGAAAATTTGCAACTGGTGAATATGATCTTGATAATCTTATCTTTCTCTAATTTAACTATATAGATAAATACGTATGGAGTGCTACTAATTACAGGAAGCATCACATCACACACACACACACACACACATATATATATATATATATAATATAATATATATAATATTTATATATCTATATATATAGATGTGTGTGTGTGTGTGTGTGTGTGGTGTGTGTGTGGTGTGTGGGGTGGGTTGGGGGGGGGGGAGGGTTTAATTTATTCAAGAACTTAAAGATCTGCGAGAATTTTAATCTGCTCATCATTTTTCCAAACCAAGACCATCATTGGACTCCTAGAGCAGCGTCTTACAGAGATCCATGCTAAAAAAGGTTTGATGAACCCTTCTTATTTTATTGTATTTTTTTTATTTTTTTTTGAACTGTGCATATATGCACATTTGAATGTTAATATATGTGAATGTATGCACATTTAGTGTTTTTTTTTTCCAAATTTTCAAAACCAACACAACAATGAGTCTCTAATACTAGCTTTGAAGAGAATCTCAACTTGAAAACGTCAAAAAAAAAAAACACAAAAATCATAAATGTGCATGCATGCACATTCAGATGTTAAGTTCGTCAAATCTTTTTTGGGATCATAGATCTCTCTTAGACGCAACTCCAGGAGTCCAATGGCAGTTTTGGTTTTGAAAAATATGGTTCTCCCAATTAGTTTCCAGGTCCACATTTAATTAGTTAAATAGTTCATGTCCCCCACTTTGTCTAAGATGATCACCCTAAAAAGTGTGTAACGTCCCATTTTCATGAATAAAAATTTCATTTTTAGTTAAGGTAAAACACCATTTTCATAAAACCTAAGTTAAGAAAACTCATTTGATCTAAATACAACTGTTTAAAAACAAGAGTAATATAATAAATGCATAATCTCCAATGCTGCTGATGAGTGTGTAAAATCACGCATTCGCCTTCCCACGATCACCACTGGTACCTGGAAAACATTTAATCCATAACTGTAAACCAAAGCTTACTGAGTCCCACCAAAATACCACAAACCACAATACACATACAATACATGCACACATACGAGCCTTTAGTCTGCCTGGACCGCCTCGCGAGGACTACAATACATCTGGGCCTCCAGTCACCGACTGGTCCCCTTCCCGTGCCTACAACATACAACTGATCTGCACCTGGCCTACAATACACTGCTGGCCCGCCTGAGTATCTTGGCCTACCGTACAATCCAGGACCGCTTCATCCCACCACCCACTATGTCGATATATAAATCAAACAAGCAAACAAACAAGAACATAGATACATGCAACTATCTA